GAAATCCCTGAAAATAAAATCTTACTACTAAATCACAGCGAAGAAACTCTGTCGTGGATGGGGCACAGAGGGGGAGGACGAAGACGCTATATCAGGAAAAAGGGAAAATTAAGAAGGAGGACGGAAGGAAAAGAGGATTTATTCAAACAGGTTTTATTCAACTATATAATTGCCTTGTCTGAAGGAATGGAGTGCGATATATATATTACAAATAAATTAGATATATTAAATAATATTTTATTATCCCGTTTTTGTACCGCACCTTTCTTTATATCGTCACGTAGGACGCTAAACAAAACAAAAAAAAAAAAAAAAAAAAAAAAAAAATTTATCTGCAATTATCGTGTGTGTGTTTGTCACATAAATAATATATAAAAATAACAACAAATCGCGTGGCCCTTGTCGAAAATCGAAGGAGTTCTATGCCTATCACACAAGTAATCGTTCAGATTCTAATACACACGGACCTTCGGCCCTTCGCTCATTTTGCAACGCTATTTACAGATGATTCTTATTTTTCATAAAAAATATCAATGCAGCTTTGTGCGCGTGGTCGCTCGTCGCGTACTTCGAAGCGACATACCGTCACTTTTCCGATTACGCATTTTATTTCAAGACGTCGTTCATCCGACCTGCATTTAACACTTAACCCCATCGTCGTAAACGAAGACTCTACACAGACGACTACTTTATCGCGAGTGCATCCCTCGGAGCGGTGGTAGAAAGCTATCCGACGTACGTTCGCATTAGAAATCGATTAAATTCGCCTCGTCAACGCGATACCGGCTCAAGTAATTCAACTCATTCGTAATTTCCCCGCGTTACTTTGCGATAAGTTGATTGATGTTATATACTATTTAATAGATCACATTAAGTCGCAAAGTATAATTGTACGATCGATCGACTTTGTTTCGCACTCTGCGCACTGCCTGTGTCTTTTCGCCAGTGTTTCGAATACGGTGCGACAAAACGGAGAACCGAGATTTATTACGAGTTTCAAATTCGTCGACTTACATATTCCGCTGTGTACGGCGAGAAATAACAACCTGTTCCAATCGCCGCGCCGGCAATTTCAAAATCTCGAACCGCGCCGGATCTTAATCCGTATCGATAACGGCAAACACATATACGCTTGCGTCGCATGAACATTCGGTGCACCCTCTTCATCGAGAAATTCATGACAGAGGTAGAGAGAGAGAGAGAGAGAGAGAAAGTGGGGGGGGTGGGGACAAGTGGCGAGCAATCTCATCCCATTCGCGGATGTTGTTGGGTCTGGTGTTGCTGTTGCTGTTGCTGCGCGGAGTAATTTCTGTCGGCGTGCTCTCTCTGGTCTCTCTGCCATTCGCGGGCCTGCGCTACTTCCTTTCTCTGCTGCTCGTTTTTGTTGTGCTGTCGGTGGTAGATGCTCTTGTGGTTGCGCAGACTGTTTAGACTGGAGTAAACCCGCTTGCAGATGTTACAGATCGGTTCCTTGCTGGGCCTGGTGTGCACGTTCTGTATGTGCCGCTTCAACCGCGTTAGGGAGGTCAGGTTTTTGTTGCACGGCTCGCATCGAAACTCATCGCTCGCGCCGCTGCCGGCCAACAGACCTGGCGGCAGAACCAGACACACAGGGGTTACTACTTTTGTAGGGGTTTTTGGCGCACGGTACGTCGCACAGACGTCGGACAGGTGGACAAGTAGACATTAGACTTGGGCAGGGGAGGATTGAGATAGAGAGAGAGAGAGAGAGAGAGAGAGAGAGAGAGAAACAGACAGAGAGACAGACAGAGAGAGAGAGAGAGAGAGAGAGAAAGAGAGAGGATATCATCCCCCAATGTATTTCTTTACTTTGCCCTTTCCTTTTTCTTTTCTTTTTTGGGAGAGGGGGAAGGTTTCCTTTTCTAGCCGCGGCCTCGTCTCTCTCGCGATCGCACACCACCATTCCACGCTCCTACACCACCGTCACATTTAAGATCACACCACCACAGTTTTCGCAGCTGAGAAAATATCGTGCGCCCGTGTGTGCTCTCTTTTCTGCCTCTTTAGTACTTTATTTTGCATCTTTATTAATCGAGCATACGTTGTACCACCGTCACCCGACAAGCCGTGCCCAAACTCGTTTACGTGTTACTTCTTAAAACCACCTTAAGTTATATGTGCTTTATGGATGCTGCTACTGTCATTGCTGCTTGCGCCTCATTGCGTGACGTAACGATTATCACGGGGGGAGAACGCCTTCTAACGCACGTCGGACGCAACCATTGTCACCGTATACACTTCTCTACGTTCTTTCCCCTTCTTTATTTCTTTTTTACACTTTTTTTCTACGTGGTCAACTTCTCTGTAAAACCGACTACGTTGTCACCATATTGATCTTTTTATTTAGAAAGTCATAGTCATTGTTAATCTCGTCGTCGGTGTCAATGTCGTATTGTCATCTTCCCGACTTTTCTCTCATCCTGACGCCGCTTTATCGTCGTCGTTGCTGTAATTGCTAACGTCATCAGTCGCAGTTATCTTCCGTTTTCATTTCTTTCGTTATCAAAAACCAAACACGAAACACAATGTAACAAATAAAGATAGGGATAAGTTTCCGTGCATCGAAATTCATAAAATCACATTGACTCAATTTATTCGACTAAATTTATTTAGCCATTTTATATCATCTCACATCTGAACGAATCGTCAAGTTTGCCATTTCAATGTAGCTCGATGTGTCCATTATTGTCATGTGATCGATATCTCCTCACCTTTAACCTCGTCAATATTAACATTATTATCATCGCTGTATCCTTCTATTAGTCCGATCATTATCATTTGTAATGCGATACAATAAACGGTTTATAACCATCATTATAATGAGTACCGTCATCGTCCTTGTCTTTGTCGTCAATATTCTCCAGCATTATCATTATCGCGTTCGTCGTTCCTGACTCTATTATTGCCGCTGTTTTCGTTTACTGCATTTGCGTTCTGCAAGGTATATATATATATATATTTTTTTTTTCGATTTCTCTTTTTCCGCGATTGTTTTCGTAAAATTTCTATGGAGAATCTTATACACGACTGATCTTTATCGAAACATGGTAAAGTAAAAGAAGCATAAAAGCTTATGTTAAACTATAGATTATACTAACTCTTGCAGCACTTATCGTTATTATCAAACAATATAAGTAAGAAATAATAATTTTATATAATGAAATATTAATTAATTATAATGAATAATGAAAAATTAATTATAATAAGTGCTAGAACATTAAATAAAAAGTGCTAATGACACAGTCTCATATATAGTTATTAATATTTCAGATAGTTTATAGTGATATTTTGCAGAGAGAACGATATGAAATGTCAAATGTTGTATTATTGTAATATCTCAATTTATACGTTTCTCTTTCGCGTATGAACGTTGTTCCAATGATTTTACTCGAATTAGCTGTATTTTATACAATCACGTAACAATCGAATTTAAATTTTTACGAAATACACTATCAAGGTGTATTATATTGAATACGATGACAATGGTAATAACCGCTCTATTCTGGAAGGCTTTTCTCACACGATTTGTTTGCAGCATCTCGCAGTTCATTGTGTGACATTTATTTCTTTCAAACGCAATTAGGATAACACAGTGCAAGCAGTTCTAAAGTTTCAGCGAACGATCGTGAGCGATGAAGTTAGTGTTTCATGATCACCAGGTATGTGTGTATGTGTAGGTGTGTGTAGGTGTGTGTAGGTGTGTGTGTGTGTGTGTGTGTGTGTGTGTCAATGTCAATGCATATTATTTACAGCAAAATAGAGCGTAATATCTTATATGTATATAGATATATGTACATGTACGCGTATGAATATGCGCGGGAGAGTGGAAATATGTGCGAGCTGTGTACACAAATGCGATATCTGTTTCTAATGAGGTGATGCGAATGAAGCGTAATGTATTCTATATTTCATGATTAATGACATTTTCATAGCCTTGAGCGAAAGAACTACCAACAGAAGTTCTTTCTTCTCGCGCGATATTTAGGCCGTGAGAGATAGCGCTCCGCTCATTAGAAACAACATTTTATTCGTTATTTCTTTCTTTTAATTACTTATCTTCTTTATTTCTCTTCGCCGCTAAGTCGCGACTTATTGCATTATATACGCCGCGTATTACAACAATAGATCAGTATAGGTTTTTTTTTGTTTTTTCCCCTTAAATATAATTACAATCTCACGAGTACAGGAACAATGCAATATTTATTTATATCAAAAAACGTAGCTATAACATTTTGTGCAACGTGAATCTTTATAAAAACGTAACATTTTGTATTTCTCTTTGTATGTAACTAATGAAACGTCACAGATTGTACAACGTCAAATAACGTTTGATTAAAAAACAATCTGATCTATTAAACAGTCAACCAGCATTTTTATAACGACTTCAGCTTTATAATACGTCCAATATATCGGGGAATAGATAACAGCAAAACAATTCACACTCTTTTTCCAGTAAAATCTCATTGGATAAACGTCGACTAGTAATACTATTTTGTAAGTATGAATATATTAGTGAGCGTATCCAAAAAAAAAAAAAACGAAAAAAATAAAAAAATTTTTTTTTTTAAATCAAGAAAGATATTAACTGTAATGAGCCCGATTTTAATATTATAAACTCAAAATAATGCATCCCATACACTTTCATTGCCAAAAACTAAATGAAACACGATATTACAAAATAAAAACGCCAGAAAGCGTTTTCTGCGCATTAAAATTCGAACTCTACAAAATCGCATTTTAGTCACTTTAGCTAAATTTACTTTATTAATCAAGTAATCGTACTCTACACGCAATATTGCGTCTTTGAGGTACCGGTTTATAGATAAGGAATTGCTGATAGTTCTTTTCTTTGGTCTCAACTAAGGTAATCTACCGAAGGAATAAACGACTAGCAACATTTCGCTCCAATACTGTTGAGATTAATTTACAATACATCAGCGGTAGTGTAACATACTATAAGTAGAACACTTTTATACAAAACGGGCAATGTCTTCTATTGACAGCCGGTAGACTACAACATCTCTCTCTCTCTCTCTCTCTCTCTCTCTCTCTCTCTCTTCTCTCTTCGTAGAAATCTCCAAGGTTTGCATCGTATGTGCACTCTGTACACGACGATTGTATTCTTAGTTCTTTTATTCATCGCGTTTTACGATAGAACGGCGAAGTCCGTCCTAGATCGGTGCTGACCGGTCAATACGTGACTTCGCATTTCGCTTCCTGCTCTTTGCGGTCCTTACGAGCGTGATACTGGCTCTTATGACTGACCAGACTGTTCCTGGACTTGTAACTTCTACCGCACTGATCGCAGGATAAAGATTGCGGCACGTAGAAATGCGTGTCAGCCAAGTGTCTCTGCAGGGACCAAGCGCGCGAGAAGGTTTTCTGGCAAAAATTGCAGTAAGTGCGATTCGTGGATTTACGATCGGATTCGTAATAGGCGCGCAACGATTGCACGATGCCGTTTTGCGACCGTAACCGTGGCAGGTTGAATCGCGACGGCGCGTCACTATTCGAAAATCTTCCGGACGTTTGTGGCTGCTGCTTATCTCGAGGGTGATCGTGACGGTACTCGTGCGTCGAATCAAGATCCGTATGGCTCTCGAGCGTGTGATTCGACAGTAGGCAGGACTCAAGCTCGACCATCCTCGGCGAGATAGGCTCCGATTTCAGCACGATCTCCATCTGATCGTTAATGTTGTCTAAGAGATCGATTATCGGCAGCTCTTGCGGCTGCGATTGCACCATCGTCTCGCCGTACCGATTTGCGCTTGTATTTTGGTTCGATTCCTGTACTTTTCGTTGGTATTCGATGTTGGTAGCGGACAGCCAGCCCCCGTCCTCCTCGGTGACCTCCTGGTCTGCAACCAAAGAGGAGGGGGCTGAGTCCAACCGGATTCACGCGACATCATTTAATACCATAACGAGCAACTTTCAGTAAGAATATATTCTCTCTCTCTCTCTCTCTCTCTCTCTCTCTCTCTCTCTCTCTCTCTCTCCTCGTTTTCTTTCCCACTTTCACACACTCTCTTTCTCTCTATCGTAATGCGAGACGCTCGATTTCTGAAGCTGATTCTCGACAGAAGTGAATTGAAACGCTTTTACTAAAATTCGTAATGTCTAACGGTTGTATTCTTAGTTCGTAAACTCGACGAACGAATGAGAGCGACGTCTTGTCGTTACGAGACAGCGCGAGAGTCAGTAAAATCTAAACCACAATTGACTTGAGGAAGATTCAAACTGAATCTGTTCTTGAATTGGCGTACAGTCTATTCAATCTATTCAATTTATTTAACGTTATTTAAAATTAGACCCCTCCTATTATATTTGTAATGTAACGGGAAAGAAAATGTCATTAGAATATGTCATATTGAAATTTGAAATTCTGCTCCTGACGGCGGAATTATGGAGTTAAAAGACTAGACAAGGAAAAGCAAATGTGGACAATTATAAACGAAATCCAACGCAATATATCGGCGCAATTGTAAAATGAATAACGCGAAGGGTTGACTTTACATATCATCGCCCGCGGGCGGGACGCTTTTACTCGTCATTTATTTTAATTCCATGATTTTCGCCATGGACACAGTATTAAGGATTAATACAGCAATTCCATAAATAGATGATTTTTCCTTCCGCCTGCTGTTCAACAGCAGGAATATAAACGTGCAGAATTAAATTCGACTTTTAATATAATCCGGCTAATTCGAACATTCTGCATAGCAATCGAACTACTAAGGGTGAAACACGGATTGTTTGTACAACCGCGAACTTTGACGAGTCTCGAGTCCGTCGAGAGCGCGTTATTTTCGATACCGTAACCATTCGTCGGGTTAAGCATATCGTTAGGAATGACAACGATCGTCGTCGACAGAAGCACGGCGGCGGAGTTCGCGAACGCTTCTTTGCGGGATTTTACCCAGCCGGTTACCCGTGGCAACGCTACCCCACATCGGTCCTCCGCTTCTCTACTTTGCCCTTCCTCTTCGTGTTTCGCGCCCCTCGTGATCCTGCCACCGTACACCACCGCGGCCGCCTGCCCAGCCTCCCAGACCCCCGCGTTTCACCCCCCGAAGCGCGTTCCTCCTCGCGCGCGTGATACAATACCGAGAAGATACATACATACATACACACACACACACACACACACACACACACATATATATATATATATATATATATATATATGATGTGTATTATTCTTAATAACCCCTGTATGCCCGTTACGCTGTATTATGACTGATGTTGACTCTAAGAGCGGAGAGAGAAAGAGCGAGCCAGCTACGATCGATAGGCTGCTCCGCTCCAGGTAAAACGAGTCTAGGAACGTCGCGTCGTGAAACATCGGGGAGAAAATCTACAGCGCGATTGAGAATTTTAAATTAGCTCCGCGCGTGCCATTTGAATATTTGGCAATTTACATAAATACGGTATTAACGGCTGTCGCCGAGTACGACTGGTTATATACGATGCGACCGGGTATAGATTTGATCTGAATGTCATCTCGAGAGCGAGATTTGCTGTTCCGCATTTAAACGTATTTATCTACTGATATAAAAAAACGTAACTGTTTTTTTTTTCTTTTCTCAACCGTAACTATTATATAACTGCGTAATTCGAAAAAGAGAACGTTATACTTGAACACGTATGTATGAAACGCCTCTCTCTCTCTCTCTCTCTCTCTCTTTTTTCTCCGTCGTCTCAACTTGCATAAAACGCGCGCGTTCGAGAATATCATAAAAACCTATGAGAGAAGTAACCCGTTCTCGCGCTGCGCACAATATCCGTACCCCCAGCGAACGGAAAGAGGATGGGCGTTCCGCAATAGGTAAGCATTATGCCGATAGACAAGCAACCCCCTTTTCTCTACGCTCGCCCGAGGAAACGAAGGGAGGAGGATGCCCGAGTTGTGTACGCACAGCGGCCGCATATTCTCTGCCAAACTCGTTCAGACAACGGAGAGAGAAAGAGAGAGAGAGAGAGAGAGCACGTGTTTTACGACGCGCAAGAGACATCGCACAAAGCGACTCGAGAAGTTTTCTCATGTAGATTGTAACGTCGCTATTCTTAGCAAGGAGCACTCGTTGGCTTCTCTAACAGACGCAAACAGCGGCTCGCGATATAAGCCAGTTGCACTTCTTGCTCTCCGCCTCTCCGCGCTAATCTCCTTCAGATTATATACGAGAGAGAGAGAGAGAGAGAGAGAGAGAGAGATTTCGAAAAGTGCGTGGAAGCGATTTAAGGATTCAGTTACATAAACGTCTCGTTCAATTCTATCATTTCGGTAATAACGCACGCGCGATCGTTCAAATTCGAAGCAACGCGGAGGTCAACCGGAGTAATAGCGATATTGCAGTATTTTTTTTTTTTTACGATAAACAATCCGGTTACAGAATCGTTAAAACAATATTATGGTCAAATGTATTGGCTGGTTAAATATATATTATTAAGCGAGAATTACAATAACTCTCGGTGACGACACACCGTTCTTTATTCCCCCGGTCGTTCCGGTTGTATTATACATTCGACTAGATATTTAGCTTTATATTAGTGATGAAAGAGAAGGTCACCGTAACCCGTGACGTTTGAGTAGATTGTATCGCTTGCATATACATAGATTTCCGAGCGTATCCCCGGCGAGAATCTCAGATAAAAGAATCCGCGCGTATCCGAATAGATAATCATCCGATAACAATCAAGGAAAGTCTATGTAGACATAATATCATCCATGCTCCGCGGCGGCGGGGATATCTTCGTCGCACTACAGCGTGACGTTGCTCTCTCGTATCGCAATTATTGTGATCGATGCCGGTGTCCTAATCCGACGAACCTATGACGAGGAAAAGGGAACGGGCTTTGTTCGGGAGAGATCCGTTCGAAAGATTCGTGGGCCACGGTGACGAACGATGCACGAAGCTAAAGTGCAAGCTCGCAGTGCCCTCTCTCCCCTCCCCCCCCCTCTCCCCACTCCTCTTCTTCCTCTCTGCTCTCGCTCTTTCTCTTTCCGTCACTCGCCTTCCTCCTTTCCCTCCTTCCCGCCAACACTACTCCCCCCCCTCTCCCCCGCCCTCCTCTATGAATTTTTTTCGTCTCGCCATTTCTCTAACTGCTCGTCTCTCGAATTCTCTCCGCCGACTTGTCGCGTCCTCCTCCTCCTCCTCCTCCTCC